CTAAACGCTCACGTTTTTATTTCCGTTTGCAATAAGCGAAAATACGAGTATTCATATGGGATAATCTTCTCGGTCTCTTTGCCATTCTGCCGTGAGAAGATACGATGGGAAATGGGAATATTAATTATTCGAGGATATCGTGTCACTGGGTTAATCCGTCGATCTGTTCCGCGAAAACGTCGCAACGTCGAGCTTCTGTACAAACACGCGCTCCATCAGGATTCACGGATATATAGAGACGTGGCTGACAGTGCGCGCGAGAGAGTCGGAGGGGTTTAAGGAGCTCAAAGAGTTTCGAAAATCCCGCAGATGACAGGCTGCGCGTATACACGACGAGGCGCATATAAAAGTTGATATTATTCGCGCGTCGCCGCACACCGATTGAGCGATGCGTCTCAGTATAGTCATCATTTTAGACGCAGAATCGTCGGTAGTTGCCTGTGTCGGGTGGCGTTCGGCGCAACACTCGCGAGGGCCGGAAACACTGCTCGACTCGGCGGCGGCGCTACCGCGAGTCGGAATCCCGAGATATTTCATTCAAATTTCTTCGATCGCCGCTACCGTGCATAAATGAGATATGTATAGAGTAGATCCGTCTTGCCCGTCAAGGCCCACATGAAAGCTTGTAAATTCGTCCTCGAGCGATCGAACAAAAGTTTTTAAATTACATCGACTCGGGCGACTACATGCGCGCATGTGTGTTGTATATGCATTGGGTCAAGCTGTCCTCGTGACTGTCGAACCTCACTCCTTTAACGGTAGACGTGCAGATGCTTTTCACGCACGATTTGGTTTGGTCGCTCCGAGTCTGCCGTAAGCTCGCGTAGTATATAATATGGCTGCAGCGTATTGACAATCGATGATGATTCAAGGCCTTATATGGACGTGCATGTGCTAAAAGACGGATGCCTCTGCTACACCTTCGACATTAGCGCTCGTTCTTTGAGGTGGTAAGTAACGTTGCACCACGCTCAACCTTGAGCCAATTATTGACTTGCCTTACCCGATCTCCGTTTAGCTTGTATTATTGACTCGTTGCGAAAGACTCTATTGGTCGATTTATTTTTGCAACTATATCTTAATAACGCGGATAAACTTGATTTTATTGAACAGCTAAGGAGCGATTGAAGTGTTATTTGAATTCGAGCTCCATTTAAAACTAGGTAACTTAGTTTTTTTTCTACTTGAATCATAATCATTTGAACATTTTACTGAAAAAGCTCGAACAACAATCGGTCGCGCGAGAAGTTAATATCGCTTGTAGCCCGTACTTGTGGCGTACGCAATCAAAAGGAAAATAGCTGGCGGCAACAGGCTTCTGCCAAAAATAAACTTGTTTTTCGATTCGCGATCGTGAGAAGTATTTACAAAGCTGCTCGCACTCGATTAGTATCACACACACACACACACAACACGATGCCTAATATAGGTATCGACATTTACGATCCGACAACGATTCGGCAAAAATTGTACCGAATAATTTTATATAAAAGTCGTATAAAAATTGAGCTCTTTGATGTTTTTTCATACCGTGCATTTTAATTGGATCTTAATGATGGAGAAAAATGAATTTTCATACGTGTATGCGAGGGTGAGAGTCGATGCAGGCATCATATTAATTCTTAATGCACATTAATAAAGAGTCGCGCGATTGGTATGTGCAGAACACTTGACAAATACTCGCACTTAAATACATAGAATGTATACTGCAATTTAATGTACGTATACATTTGAGCAGGGCTTGTCGCTTGTAAGCGCAGTGCGACTGATCGTATAGTGCACGCACACTTACGCATATCATATAGAGACGTAGCGAGCGTAATACGCGAGGATTTCATTTCGGGCTTTTTGCCGCTGTGTGACGTGCCGTACGTCGTTCGTGTTTGCTCGTCGACTTTTTGACGACTCGAACTGCTGCTACTGCATGCGCGATATTACGCGTTGACAGGGGAATTATTTTATGTATGTCGTATTACCAACTCGGGGTACATATCGCGCGCCAGATATATGTGTGTACATATAATATCGTAACACATATAATCCCGCAGGCGCGATCGTATACTACACATGCGTTTGTATTTCCACGTGGTGCGCGGTGGCGGCGGCCTGTTTGTTCATCTTCTTTTTCTTCGACGTACATGATATTTTTCTTTCAACAGCTCGTGTGCCGTGTGTAACACGCCGCTTCTGTGTACCGTATAAAGGCACTTTTTAATTGCATTTTATTATGTTGATACACGAGCGCGCGATGAATAATCGCGCCGCAGAAAGAGAGTGAGAGAATGATAACCGCCTCGCAAAGTATAAAAAATGGGTCAGTAGCGCGGAATTTATTAATTAGCGCGTTTATATTTAGATAATATAGTAAATAGACGATTTTACAAGCTGTGTAGTTTGTATAGTTGGAAAATATTAGCTTATTACGCGAGTTTATACCGAATCTCAGACGTATTTGGCTATGGCTTTACAATGTGGGTCGTTTACGCGACGCTCCATTGGCCTTTGAGATTTCACACTGCTGCTCACTCGATCGTGAACGAAATTTCACGATTATATATACCGATTTTTTTTCTCTTCATTTAAATGGGCTCGTTTTAACGAGGTCGCTTCAAGTTCGATTCGTCATTGATAGTTTTCGCAGTAGTGCGAGCGGACGTTTGAATAAATATACGAGTAAGTTGACGAATTCAGATGATCGGTTTGACAAAGTATAGTACTCGAGACTACTCTTACAGGTGTCGATGATTAAATCCATGTTATCGAATTATTGAACTTGGAGCTTGTTCGTGGACAAAAAATCTTGATCTTTTCCATGCTACTGATTTCGCTTGCAATATATCTCCTAGAAAGATTTGCACCATGTCGGTGTGTGACGTTGCGTATCAAGGGGAAGACGCGAATTTTCCCCAATTTAACGTACGAAGGACCCTTGAGCTCAAAACGATATGGGAGAGGATACACCTGCCAGGATAGGGAGAGCCAGTAGTTTTTTTATTCTTAAAAATTAAGTACAATGTAATTAGTGACGATTGACAAAGAGTCTCGAATTCGAGGGCAGCTCTCTCTAGCTGGCTCGCAACCTATCGGTCAACTATTCGATACTCTCGTCGTGCACGTGTGACGCGTGGACTATATACACACTTAGGACGTCGACTGCTCCGATGAAGCGTGAACCTTTTGTGTTATACCGTTCGCACGTCCTATAATACACGCAGTGCAGAGAATTCGCGACATTTGTAGTACACGCGTTTCTGTGTGGAGGCAGTAGTCGTCGTGATAAATTTTCCTGCGGTTCTGGACACTCCGTGTATATTATTATAAAACCTAGGACATACGACTGCAGCGGCACATGGTATATACTGAATTAGCAGCTAGCGACAAATGGCTCGTGCGAATCCAAGCAGCAACAGCAGCAGCCGAAAGATCCACGATCGATGTGTACGTTACGTCCTCGTATGCGCACACGTATATAGACAGCTTATAATTTATTCGTATTTTGTTTTGCGGGGCTCTGTTTATATTTATCATCGTGCATCCCATGCGCGCACGCGCGAGCGCTTCGATATTATTATGTCTATATGCGATACGTCACGAGCATAACGACCCGCGAATTCCGACGCCGAGCTGTTATCGTTACCGCCTTTGGGTGTATACGTGTGTGTATGCAGAGGCATTACCTTGAAAAATTGCGCTGCACTCGCTCCGCTTTATCGCGCTTATATGCGCCGCTCGTCGCGTCGCGCAGCTTGTCGCTTCAGTCTCTAATGTTCGCGCGCGAAAAAAAAACGAAGGAAAAGTCACCGATGCTTCCGGATTATCTCGTCGAGCTCGTATGTTACGATGTATATAATATTCGTAATAAATCTTGAGCCATAGACACTTATTTGCGTCTAAATAATTGCAACGGTAGCCGTGCGCGCGTCGGCAAAACTGTGAATCTTATAAGCGTACAACATACATAATTCGGCTCTTAAAAAAAATCAATTGAATTTATCGTCGTCACCTTTCGAGATTTTTGTTTACTCTTACAATAAAAACGAATTTTGATAAATTGCCGGTATAATGCCTGAAAATATCGAGTGGAAGAGAGAGTCGACGAACAAGGGAGCGCGCTCGACTCTTCATGTAGTATATCTATATAGGTATTCACGTCGTAGAAATAGACATCCCCATGTATACACGCTCGATTTATATACGCGTACAAAGGCCGCACGAGGTCCGAGTTTAGATGTCCAGCTGCGAGTATAGTTGCGCGCAGTAGTTCGTGTCGGTGCGGAGATGCGTTGGGGAAGGGAACGAAAAAAAGAAGAGAATGAAAAGTATAAAGAAGCTACCGAAAAGAAATGAAGTGGCGTTCGATCTTGCGAGATTTCGCTCTCGACGAGAGACAGACGCGCGAACGGAACAAAACGATACTCACGTGAACTCCTTCCAAGACCCGATGTAGCGTCCAAATATTCCAACGTTTTACATATTGCAGAAAAAATTAGCAAATCACGTCGAGTTGCACCCGTAGAGGCTAGAAAAGTAGCTCGAGATCAGTCGAGATCCCACCCTCGTTTCAATCGAGCGATATGAAAAGGAAAAAAGTACAGTAGGTGCGTAAGTACAGACCGAGACACTTTTCGACTTGTCACATCTCGAACAATGAGAGGCCAGCCAAGATGCGTAGTTGCATTGAAAGCGAGATTTAGCGCCACTTGAAAATAAAACCCTTGACAAAAAAAACTCCTAGATTCGCCTTGCCAGTGAAAAGTTCTCACGCAATAGTGTGGAGAAAGATGTAGAAAAAAATGCTACGTATTTTTACTTTATGATTTATTGTGTACTCGAGTTCGATCGTAAGCCAAGAAAAATCGAAAACGCGCTCTGTTCTCAAAAAATACTGCTACATAAATGCGCTACGAAATGTTTGTACCACTTATATAATTGCAACACATATCCAATATGATGACCATTCTGAGTGATCCTAGCCAAGCACGAAACAAAAATCTGAGTAGAGTACGACGTGATTGCAGGTCACAGCGGTGTCAATCAGCTCGGCGGGGTGTTCGTCGGCGGCCGACCGCTGCCCGACGCGACCCGACAGAAGATCGTCGAGCTCGCGCACTCGGGCGCGAGGCCCTGCGACATATCGCGCATTCTCCAGGTCAGCAATGGCTGCGTCTCCAAAATCCTCGGCAGGTCAGTATTACATCGTACATAACACGATCGCTCGCCTCGATTATCTCGTGAACGACTAATTCGCTTTTTATTACAGGTACTACGAGACGGGCTCGATAAGGCCGCGAGCCATCGGCGGCAGCAAGCCCCGAGTGGCCACCGCCGAGGTCGTCAGCAAGATCTCGCTCTACAAAAGCGAGTGTCCGTCGATATTCGCCTGGGAGATCAGAGATCGTCTGCTGCAAGAGGGCGTCTGCTCCAACGACAACATACCGAGTGTAAGTAGCCCGTTAATTTATTCCTTATATGTATATATAGTTAATCAAAAAGCGTGGCATTCAAAGACGTGGCATATTATGAATTCAGACACGTCGCGTGGTGTCTTTTGAGATGATATACAGTGCGAGCAGGAAGCAGAGATCCTTGCCGCGTATGTATACGTATTACGCAGCTCTCAATGAAGTGTAGGGCAAAAGGGTGGCATTGTGCGCGCGGCAAGCAGCATTATGCATCACAAAACACGCGCGCCCGTTTGCGTATAAAAAGCCGTGTCGAGTCGCAAACCGAAGGCGCGTGGGGGCATTGAATTACACAGTATACTGCTGCCGCCCGCAGTGACGATGATATTTCTACGCGCGTAAACATTATGCAGGCAGCGCAGCTCTCTGCGAGCCGTAATCGAGCATATTATTTAATTGAGCCACCTACAGAGATTCCCTTTCGTAATAATAACGGGGGTTTAAATCGGAAATGAGGTTTCGCGGCGTTTGTACCTTTTTTTTCATAGTGACAGTGAAATGACTGATGGATGAACTAATTGCTCGTGGCAACGGTTACGAATCATACGATTACCGATTACTCGAGTGCAGAAGCACATATGCATATTATGCAAAAATCGTATACTCGAAATTATGTTGGAAGCAGCTTCAATCTGCACTCGAGATCAGCATAAGCACAAGAGAGGCCCCTAAAGAGTCGAAACTCTAGCTCGCGAGCGGCATCGGGGGCACATTATAAGATGTCAACGTCAACGACAGCAGCAGCAGCAGCAGCAACGTCTTGACGCAGGCATCTTGTAAATACTTCACGTGTAGGTGTACGTATACGCTCAAGACACAGAGTACGAGCTTTATAGCGTGAGCGAGAAAAAAAGCATCTCGCACAGCTCGGGCGAGCAGAGGTCCCGCGTACATATATATTCTCTCTCTCTCATTGGTTGCCATGGATATTTGCATGTGCGTCCAATAAACGCTGACTAAGAAGCAGAGACCGGGAGCGAGAGACTACTGGAGGGTCGCTGCTGCACGAGCTACTACGCTAAACTCCTTATACACGCCGCCCACCACCCTTGTGTCTTTCGCCATCAACAGCAGCAGCAGCAGCCCCCGAGATTCTTTCGGGAGCTCTTCTTCTTCTTCTACTACTTCTTCGTCTTCTTACGAGCCACCCTTACTTGCGCTGCTTTTTTCTTCCGCTTCTGGGGCACTGATCTACGTGTGTGTCTGTACGTGTGTGTGTGTGTGCCCACGCACTAGCTATTAATGGATTCGTATATTGCGGATGTGTACGTTCGTGTGTGTGCGCGCGCAAAGTCGGCATTTTTTCACGTGCAAACGGGGAGAGAGGAGCGTCTAAAGAGGACGTAATTGACTTTTGAGCGAGAGAAATATTCCAAGGGTCGAGCGCTTGGATCTCGCGCGATGCTCATGGGGCACACTCGTATAAGTACAAATTATGCTATTCTCTTTTCATCGGTCAAGACTCGCCTCCAGCTTCGGGAAGGAAAAATTTACGCGCGCACACATAAATGCGTTAAATAGAAGAGATGTGATTCTGCTAGCTTAAACACGTGCTTTTAAAAGGAGTCTACAGCGTGGGTGTAGCTAAACCGAGCTTATGTACGCGTAAATATATAATCCGAAAGCTCGTTCTGGCTGGCTTCTATATAAGCTCGTATACATAGCCTAGCGACCGGCAGAGCTCGAGTCTTTAGGGCGAAAGAGGGAATTTCCGCGTTTTAACAAATTATCGCGGACCCGCGCGCGAACAAGAAGAAGCAGAAGAAGAAGAAGAGGTAGAGAAAAGTCTATATATAGCGGTAGCAGTGGCTCTCTTTCTCTTTCTCTCTCTTTGCTTGCGTTGGCAGAGCAACCGGGAGTTTGCTGCTCATTTTCCTCTTTTACTCTTCTCTTTCGCCTAGAGGCGCGAGAGAAAGAGAGAGAGAGAGAAAGAGAGAAAGAGAGGATCAAAGCTTTCAGAAACTTGTTGTGGCTAAGATTAACGTTTCTTAAATGGCCCGTGTAATATTCCATTAGCTGGAATTATTTTCTCACTCTACTTAGTAGCAGTAGCAGTTGTTCTACAAACATTGCTGCGCGTGTAGCTGGCCCTCTCCTTCCCTCGAGCTGCCACTGCTGCTGTTGCTGCTGCTGCTGCTGCTGCTGCTTTGCTGTTCGCTCAGTTGCGGATAATCTTTAATTTAATCGTACGCGCACGCGGCCTTTTGTTTACACCGCGTGAGACTGACGTGTATTCAAGGAGGGCAGCAGGGTTGCTTCTTCTTCTTCTTCTTCCTCTTTTCTTTTTTTTCTTCAAACGGAAGCCGCTGCTGCTTCCGACTTTCGAGGTATACGAGAGAGCTTATTGCCGAGACTCCGTTATCTTCCTACCGACTACCGCAGCAGCGCCTACGACTTTTCAAAAATGCAAAGTTCATTTTACATTTTTTACGGCACTTTGACGCAAAATAAATATACCTTTTCCGTCTCGCTAACGAGAGATAGAGAGCGAGGGAGAGATGAGAGTCCCACGAGGAAGCTCTCGAGATCGAGTTGAAAAAAATTCAATCGGGAAAAGATAAACATTTAAATTTTCGTGCTGCACGGGCACTAATGCAACGATTGCCGTGTGTATATATTTGGTATGTGCGTGTATAAGAAAGCACGACGACGATCGTGTCACAGCAAATAAAAACTCTGGAAATAACGCGGAAAATCGAATGTATTAGAGAGAGAGAGAGAAGACAGAAGAAGCTTCGCGACGGCGACTTGCGTGCTTGCGAGGAATAAAAAGAGACGAAAGATATACTGCTGATTGGAGGAAATTTCATTATTTTCAGACATTACCCCCTTCATTGTAATGTCGTCAAATTCAATTCGCCATCTCTCGCGAGCGGAGCGGCTGGAGAGGCTGCTACTGCTGCAAGAGAACTTCGTATAACGGCCGGGCGTCGAGTAGTAGTGAGCCGAGAACGACAAGGCATGAAGAGCAGAGAGAAAAGAAGAAAACGCTAGAGAGAAAGAGAGAGACAGAGAGAATTGACTCGAGCCCGCTCGATAATATTAGCGCTACGCGTGGCGATATAAGAAAAGCTCGAGTCTTCAATATGCTTATCAAGTCGTTTCGATTTAATTATTGCGCGGATCGGCAATGGAAAAATAAAATTTATATTTTCTTCGGCTGATTTCCTGGCGTTTATTTTTCATTTTCATCCGAGGGCCCTGAATGGAATGGCAGATGTATATTATACGGACGCGCGTGCGAGAGGCTTCTGGGTTTTTCGGAGCGAGTCTGATTCTTGCATCCCAAGCGCCGCGCGCCTTATTGGTTTACTCTCGCGTCACTGGCTTTCCTTGAGCTTTTTTTTCTCTTTCTCTGCCTCGCATTTATTCGTTGGATAAATACGTATTAGAGATATGTGTTTGGTTACATATGTTCCGTTGCATTAATTCGAATCGTCAAAGCGAGATCGATTATGACTGCGACGGATCGAAAGCAGAAGCGATTATATTCGATTTTCACGACAATAATTTTGATGATGATTCGCGTAAACGCCCTTAGCCGAGTATCGGTGTAATTTATTTCTTAATCAAATTTTATGAGATTTCATCATCGAGGTTGTAAATTAACTTATGATTCAAGATACAGAAAATAGGGAACAAAAGATGTCGAGATGACGAGTTCCCGAAGGGAATTTCAGCCGCACTCATACGCCTCGGATGAAGCGCAGAGCATATACAGCCGCAAACACTGCAGGATAGATAAATAGATAGCAAAAGCAAAGGCGAGCTTCAAATGGATGGCCTGTAGAATCTGAGACGAGTGAATTGTTGGCGACTGCGTCCGTTCCTCTAGAAAACCGACGAGAATACGAAAGCTTGTGCGAGTGTCTGTCTGTGTGCATGTGAGCGAATGTATGGTATACATACCAGGACCCCGGTCGTCTAGAACGTAAATCAATGTGCCGCTGCCGTGTCCCTCTCTTGTGGCCTCCCACTCTCTTTTTCCTCGACTCTTGGCAAGGCTCTCTCAACTTTCGGGATCGGTTTTGTACGTCGCGAGCACGGGACTCATCTTTATTTTCTTCTACGCGTACTCTCGTTACACTGATTTTTTCATTGTTGTGACTCGAGCTCGGAGAGATCGTGTTAATAGTCCAAGTACGCCGACGGAATTAATAACGAAAATGAGGCAGAGTTTATGGAGGAGCGAAACGCGACGATATAATATATATAACTCCGACACTCGAGTGTGAAATACATCTCGGGATGTAGGACGAAAAATCCTCTCAACCTACATATCTTCCTTCTTTCCCTTATCCGTGACGTCGTCGTAGTCGTTTTCCTCCGCCACCCGCATACTTTTCCGATTAATTCCACCCTCTGGCACGCTCGTATAATCTTATACCCCTCGCGAGTAAGAGTAGTGGCGGAGGCGGCGGCGGTGGTATCAGTAGTATAAGCAGCAGCGGCACCGTGCCACTTTCTCGCATTTAATTCACGCCAACCGACTCGACGGAGGTGCTATATACAGCAGGCGCACACATACACACACACACACACACATATGAGTGTGTATGGGTGGCTCTTACAGCTACTCGACGCAACCCCGTATCCGAGAGTCTGTGTGTCGGAGAAACGCGTAGATATATATACTTACACATTTACACAAAGAGAGGGGTAAGGGAACCCGAGTGAGAGAGAGAGAGGCTGGGGAGTCGTCGTAGACGTCCGCCGCGACTGCTGCATTATGTATTTTCTCTCGCCTGAGAGCTATATATACGCCCGTCTTCGTCTTTATTTCTCTCCCTCACTCTCTTGCAGTCGTCGCGTAGCCCGTCGCACTGTAGTCTGCGTCCTTTTCTTGAGTAGTCTTGCTTTTTCTCTCTCTCTCTCTCTCTTTTCTTCCAAGTTTACATTATATGCATGTACAGTGAGAACGAGAAAAAAAAATCTTTGTGCAAGCCTTGTATTTTTGCACAGCATAGCTCATTGTTTTT